TAACCCTAACCCCTAAACCCTAACCCTAACCCTAACCCTAACCCTAACCCTAACCCTAACCCTAACCCTAACCCTAACCCTAACCCTAACCCTAACCCTAACCCTAACCCTAACCCTAACCCTAACCCTAACCCTAACCCTAACCCTAACCCTAACCCTAACCCTAACCCTAAAACCCTAACCAATTCAGACCCATGCATCTACATTCATCACAGTCATCATCTGGCCATCATCACCCTCTATGTTGATGACTGCACCATCATTGCCCACCAATCTGAGCTCAGGGGCGTCAAGCAACTCATTGCCAATGGCTTCCCCATCAAGGACCTCAGTGAAGCTACATTGGTCCTCAGCATCAAGATCCACCATGACTGTTGTGCTGGCAAGCTCTACATCTGACAGTGCAGCAAGATCAACAACATCCTTGCCACCTTCAGGCTCATCAACTGTAACCCTGTGTCAACACCAATGCTACCAAACCTACAGCTGCCAGTTGACACCAAGCAACATGACACCTTTGAATACCACAGCACCATTGGCATGCTGTCATATCTGGCACACACCTTGCAACCAGACATTTTCTTCCCCATTGTGTACCTCAGCTGCTTCACCAACAACTTCAGCCCCAAACACATTGCCACTGTCAAGCACATCATGTGCTACCTCACTAGCACAGCCAACCTGGCAATCTGCTACTTGTGCAACCTCTATGATGACAAGGATGTCACAACCCACATACCTATAGGGTACTGCAACACCAACTGGGGCAACATCAAAGTCAACTGCCAATCAGTCTCCAGTGTCATCTTCATCTTCTGCAGAGGCGCCATCTCATGGAGCATCAAGACACAGAAATGCATCACACTCTCCTCCACCAAAGCCAAGCTCAACACCATCTCCAAGGCAACACACCAGGCACTCTATGTGCACAAGCATCTGCTGGCCCTTGGAGTCAACACCCAACAACCACTCTCTCTCTTCAACAACAACCAGAGTGCACTGGCCATCATCAATATCTCATCCAGCACCTACCACAGCCACATGACTGACTGTAAATATTACAACATCAAACTCACACACCTGCACAACACAACCAGTTGAGGTCAAGTCCACTACAGCTACTGCCCAACTGACAACATGCCCACCAACATTCTCACCAAGGCACTTGGCCACATCAAGCTTGTTCACCACCACCAATGCATGGGGCTGATTGAGCAACCCACCACATGAGGGGCATGTTTGGACTCAAACCAGTGACATCCTGTCAGACCTGTCCAGTCAGTCAAGTCACTCTCATTGAACAACAGTCAACTCTGAACTCCCTCCTGTTGCTCAAAGACCTGAGCTGTCCAACCAATTAGAATGGACCATAGAACCCTTTAAAAGAACACTGTGTTCTTCTGTTTATTTCACCCTTCTTTCTCTCTTCTCAAATACATCTCCTTTACTCCACTACACCACTACACATTTCCTGCTCCAACACATCAGGGGAGACATCCAGTTGCTGGTTGTGCCTGCCACCGCTGCTGATCTCCAGGCTGCCATCAGGTCGCTCAAGATTGGGCTCAAGGGCATCAAGCAGCACATCAAGGCCATCAAGGATGCACCACACACTGACAACACCAAGCAGATCACAGACATCATGCACAATGCCAAGACACACATTGCCACCGCCATCAGCAACATCAATGTCATCAGCAGTGGCAGTGCCATGGTCACCGCCGTTCCACATGCGCCCACAGATCATGTGCTTGTCAATCAGATCAATGACATCATGAATGGTGTCACTGCTGTTAAGACTGTAGTTGACCCCCTCCAAGCCTGCCTCAACAACATCATGGCCAAGGTGCAAGAGTTGCAGGTGGCCACATCACATGAGATCCAGCAGATCTGTGTCAAGGCCATCGTGGGTCACCAATTCACACCCCCACCACCACCACCACCACCACCACCACCTTCAACCCCCATGTGCCCCATTTTTATTCACAGAACTGGAGTGTGTGCCTAAGTGGCACAACAATACCAGCACCAAGTAGACCCAGAAGGTGAGCATTTGTTAACCTTAGGTTGGCTGTTGGGGGAAGCTGCCCTTACAAAAAGCCCCAGCTGGAGGAAGGAGCAAAAACAAAAAGGAAGATCTCCCCCGCCGGGATTTGAACCCGGGTCGTCCGCGTGACAGGCGGAAATGCTAGCCAACTACACCACAGGGGATTTGTTATTTCTGGCATCCTGCACAAGGCCCATGCATCGTAAAAATCGACCAATCAGGGCCGTGGATACTGCTGTTCATCTGAATTTTCCCCTACCAGATTTTTTACTGACTCACGCATTTTTCAAATGAGAAGATGAACGGGGCGGCCAGCGCTGCTCTTCTCGAGCTGCCACAGGAGCTGTTGTGCCACATTTTCTCCTACGTCGTTCAACCCGCTTCAGCAGCACCGACCAGGGACGCTGCAGCACTAATGGTGGTGCGCGACCTCGGGGCCTGGTCCCTCACCTGCACAGCCTTCCACGCGCTCTGCAGCGCCGAGACCAAGTGTCGATACCTGTGCCTGACCGCCAGCCCGGTCCTGTTCGGCCTCGGCCTCTCGCCCCTCTACTCTGCGCCGCAGCTCGCCCGTTCCAACTCCGATTGTCGCTGGTGGCAGCTGCGCGCTCGGCTGCTGGTGGCCCGGCCTCACCGGCTCACGGGCCAGCGCGAGTTCCACCCGACCGTAGTCCGCGACCGTGCCCCCCGCCGGCTCGTGCGTGAAGCTGCGCAGTTGATCCGCGAGGGCGTGTGCCTGATTAAGAGCGGCGACAATCGGCGCCTGGCCACGCAGCCGTTTGTCAGCTCGAGCCGCGAGACGCTGGCCGAGGCCTTTGCCGAGGTGGCGCGCGCCACTAGGGACCAGCCCCTCGCTTCGATTGAAGAAGCAGAGGAAGAAAAGCGTTTCATGGCGTCGGTCCTGTTCTGCGGCGTGGACTACTTCGAGGTGGTGGTCACGGCGAACGACGGCCCTGCTTCGGTTAGTCCGTCGGCAGTGGGCGTGAGCCAGGCCTTCTCGAGCCGGTGCCTGTTCGTTGGGCTCCGCAGCTCGCAGACCAGCGCTACCTTCGTACACAACATGCTACCCAGCACCAGAGTACCACTCCCACACGTCTGTACCAGCATGTTCAGTCTCGACTCATAGTGGACGCGCACGCACGCAAACATGCACACACAAGTTGTGGCAGGACAACAGGAGGGAGATCAAGGGCGGTGAGGTGATCGGCTGCGGTGTGGACTGGGAGTGCGGCCAGGTGTTTTTCGTGCGCAACCCCACGCACGAGGATCCCAACACGACTGACGTCTTTGTGTGCTGTTTCGCGCTGGACCGGAAGGAGACCTATCCCGCAGTCGGTGCCACCCCATACAAAACCCACCCTTGTTTTTGTGTTTTTTTTTTTTTTTTTTTTTGCCCACAACTGACTTCTTTATTGGATTGATGACACACAGGGGCTGGTTGTGTGTCCAACATCAATTTTGGCGACGAGCCCTTTGTGTTTGACGTCAAGACGTTCATTGAGCGGAAGCGTGCCGGCCTGTTGGCGACCCTTCCACACCTGCGGCCCACTGGGAACTGGGAGGCCACTGCCTGCAGGCCTTGTTGATGCCTGCACCACTCAACGTGGTGAGACCAGGCCTTCCCGTTGGTTTTGCTCTCCGCCTTTCGTGCGGGGCCAAAGGGAAACATAAAATAAAAAGGATAAATAAATTGACCAGTGAGGCATGAGGCCAAAGACGAAAAGCAAGGGCAAGCAGGGGTTGGCCAGCGATGTGTCGCTGTCTTTGCTGAGCATTCAACAAACAGTGCCTTGGCCTCCACCGCCTCAAGCCTGCGGTGTGTTGTGCATTGTGGCAAGAGTGTGGTGCTATGTTCTCAGCAAGAATCACGTGATGTATAGCGCGTATTTGTACCCACTGTCGCCACGCAACAACACGGGCTACACGGTACTGGCAGTGGTGGCATTGAAGCGGAAGCCAGAGGCCTTGCACATGGAGCACCCCAAGCAAAACTCCTGGCATTGACAATTTTTCACCACGTCGTGCGTGGTGGTGGTCAGCACAAGGGCACAACTGCATCGCCTATGAGTTGTGTTGCTCTTACCTCAGTACCGTTGGGCGGGTGGTCGACGTGTAGAGGGCACGAGGCGGCCCCACCGCACGCGGGCGCCTTGAACGTGTCCAGCGTTTTCCAGTTGGCAAACTCAACCCGCTCAGCCGGCTGCCGACATACATGAACGCGAATGGGGTTGAGTGAGATGGGTGTAAGATGGCAAGGAATTGGAGATTGAGGGAGAGGGGGAACCTACGCGATCGTGACAGGGCGTGCAGAAGCGGGCCTTGCCACCGCAGAAGTAGGTAGCCAGCGAGCAGCAAAAGCGGCACTTCCACTCCATGTAGGCATCCCCGTGCACGCTGGCGGTGGTGTAAGGATCAAGGACACGAACACGAGAGGGCCGCGTCAGTGCCGCAAACAACGGGTTAGATGTTGTGGGGTTTGGGAGGTGGCATACCGACAATCGGCTTGGCCCAGCGTGTTGCTGCAGGCCCCGCAGATGAGCTCCTTTGGATTGAACGCGGGCGCCGGTCCGCCTTCCCCTTCGCCTCCGCCGTCACCCAACATTCTTCCACATTCCTGGAACACAATACAACACAATTGCAGTTGAAGCCACAAGGGAGGAAGAAGAAAGCGCATGAAAGGGGCGTATGGCACCTTCTTGCCACCAAAGTAGGGCGCCTTGCACTGATAGCACAGGTAAAAGGCGAAGGTATCGACGGCGTACTTGGCCGGATTCTCCTTCGCTCCGGGATCATTCTTCATGCCCTCCATGTCCAGCCGCTGTTGTTTGAAATCACACAAGTTGCCTCTCACGTGTGAGCGAATCTATTCACGCGTGGCCACCAGTGTGTGTTGTGTGTGTGTGTGTGTGTGTGTGTGTGTGTACGTGCAATGAACCGCGTGCGGTAGGTACCTCGACGGCCATCTTGGTGAGATACTCCTCCAGCTCGAGGAACGGCTTGAGGTGCGGCGCAAGGAGCGGGTGCGACAGTCGTTCGTTGCACAGCGGGCAGTCGAGGAAGGAAAAGGAGATCACCGCCGTGGGCCAGCCCGCTTCGAGCTTCTTCAACAGACAGTCGAGATGGAAGACGTGCCCACATGTCTCTGTACGTATGCGGTTGCCGATGTAATCATGCACACACAACACGTCACAACCAGCACGTAATAAGAACCTGGAGCGAGCGGTACCGAGTGCAATGCTTGGCTTGGAACCAAGGTCCTCCACCCAACAAATGTTGCAATAGTCATCCTTGGTTTGCCTATTGGGGGAAAACGACACACGAGCGCACGGTTGGGTTTGCTTGGGTGATACACACATAACTAAAAATATAAATAAATAAATAAATGGTATGTGTAAAGCTTCGTACCCATCGCCAGCACAGGCTGGATCGAGGCAGCGCAGGCATGTCTGCTCGTTGTAGACGCCGCAACAGGCGTGTCCGCACTCCGTGTGCTTCCAGAGGCACTTCTTCTCGACCTCCTTCTTGCACTCGGCCCGATCGCACACGTACATGGTGGTGATGTTGGCCTCCTTCCCGTCGCGCAGGCGCTGAACCAGCTCGGCCCGCTTGCGCTTGCGCGCCTCCTCGCGCTCCTGCGCCTGTTGTTCCTCGCGTAGCTTGCGCTCGGCGAGGCGTCGGTCTTGCACCTGCCTGCGCTGGGTCTCGTACTCCATCATCTGGACGGCGACGCGCGCCGCTTCGTTCCGCTCGTGCTCGCGCTTCTCGCGTTCGAGCTGCTGGCGCTCCTTGAGCAGCCGTCGTCTCTTCCAGAAGAAGACGCCCGGCACCTGGTTGGGCTCGGGCAGCTCCTTCTCAAACGCGCGAAAGACCGGCTGAAAGGGCTCCATCTCGGCTTCGTCGGAGTGCCCGTCGGCTTTCTCCTTGCCCTTGTCGATGTCGTCTGCAGCCAGCTCGCCACCGCTTGGCTGTTCGGCTTTCCCGTCGCCGTCGCCGTCGCGCACGACAAAGTCCTCGGGCAGGTACGGCGTGATATCACCACGCAGCACTTTGTTGCACACAAAGCAATGCTGCACATCACACGTGAAGCCGGGAAGAGCCATCAGTACGACCAAACAAGTGAAAAAAAGAAAACTGTTCGTTTGAAGAAATGTATGAGGGGTGGACCTGGGCGACGAGGTAGTTCTTGTAGTCGGCGCAGGTGAAGCCCAGGTGGTAGGGAACGAGATTGCACGCCGAGCAGAAGACGGTGCTGCAGTCGCGGCAGCGGAATCGCTTGTCGAAGTAGTGTTCCAGCGCATCGCCCTGGATCGGTTCGCCGTCGTCGTCAACCGGTTGCTGCTTCTTCATGTAGGCCTTCTCCTCGGCCGTCGGCGGCAGGTGCTCGAAGATCATCCCGCAGCTCTCGTTGGGACACAGCACGTAGCCCTCGTTGCTCTCCAAGAACAGCTTCATCGAGTTGGACAGCTTGTTGCTCGACGGTGCCGCGGCCTCGGTTTCGTTTTCGTTCTTCTTCAGTTGCCCTGCTCCCTCGGGGTGTCGCGCGGCGTCTTCGCGCTCCTCGTTCTCTCGGTGCTGATGCTGCCGCACTCCATCGTCATCCAGCGCCAGGTCGACTTCGAACATCAGCTCGTGGTGGTCGCCCACCGCTTCGCCCACATCTCTTTGCAGCGACTCCTGCTCCAGCAGGTGCTTCTCCTTCTCCCCCAAGAGCTGGACTTCGTCGCCATTCCAAGCGGGATTCTTGTCGACGGCGCATCCGTTCTCCTCCAGCTCCTTGGCGAGCAGGCTGCCGAACACGTCGAAGCCGGCCTTGAGATCGTCGATCGAGACCGTGGCCCCGCACGTCGGGTGCGGACAGACGAACCGGAAGAAGGCGCGATCCTCCTTGCTGGCCCGT